TTCATCATCTCAAGTAAAAACTCTATACCCTGTAAACAATAATCTCCCATTACCTCCCTTCTCTAAGACCTTAGTAACCTCTGATCTACTTTATGCCTCTATGAATTTGACTTTTCCAGGAGCCTCACATAAATTGGAGTTATGCACTATTTGCCCTTTTGTGACTTCTTTCACTTAGAGAAGATCCCCTGGAGAAGAGAATGGCTATCCACTCCAATTTTCTTGCCTGAAAAATCCCACGAACAGAGGAGGCCGGCAGGCTACAGTCCATGGGGTCAAAAAGAGTCAGACATGACTGAGCTAATAACACTTTTGCTTTTATAAAATGTCTTTAAGAGTCATCTAGGTTGTAGCATATATCAAGATTTCTTTCCTTTTTAAGATTGCATCATATCCCACTGGCTGTACACACCACATTTGTTTATCTATTCATCCTCTGATGGACATTTAGATTGTTTCTACTTTTGGCTATTGTGAATCAAGCTGCTGTGAACATTGAAGAGCCGTATTTTTACTCGAAAAATGAAGCTTAGTGATCCACCACGTCTTGTGGAGATAGAGCCCAGTATCCAGTCCTGAGTGCACATTAGAATAGCCTAGGAATTTGAAAAAAAAAAAGAAATCACTCTCGACCACCAGAATGTCAGATTCTCTGGAGGTGCAGACTGGACAGAGCAGTTTAAAAAACTCTCTAGGGGACTTTCCTGGTAGTCCATGGGTTAACAGTCCACCTTCCAATGCAGGAGACATGAGTTCGATCCCTGGTCAGGGAACTAAGATCCCCCACGCCATGGGGCAACTGGGCCCATGCACTGCAACTGCTGAGCCTGTGCATCACAAGTAGAGAGCTGGCCACAGTGGAGACCCAACACAGCCAAATCAATCAATAAATACATATTTTTAAAAAATAGCCCTCTAGGTGATCCTTCTGTGCAGCTAGAATTGAGGGATATAGAGCCCAGGCCGAGTCACTCACTGCCTTTTGCAGACTTTCTCCTTATATCTTCTGTCTCTCTTTTATTAAAGTCACCCATCACAAATCAGTGCACCAAAGTAGATCCTCTTTGTGTCATTTTAACATATAACTTGGGACAGGAAAAATAAAACAAAAATTTTAAAGTCCAAATTCAAGTGAAAACAAAAAACACCCATCCCCTCAACACCGTGAAGCCAAATGCTGGTTTGTTGGCTAAATATATGGACCTATTTGTTTTTTGCATTTTAATCATCGTGTTTTAATAACACACCACAATACAAACAATTGTGTGGGTTAATTCAGCTCTATTTAAGAAGTCTTGTTCTGTACTCCAGAGCTGCTTGTTCTGTCTGGTTAAACGCTCATGCATTAAAATGCTAATAATTAAACTGTTACGATTGACTAATGAACTCTGCCAGCGATAAATGATGGTCTTGTTAGATTCACCGCCCAGCAAGCCTCCTTTTGTACTGAGAAAGTTAAAGGTTAAAGTGCTCTTGAAACCAGTGAGTGGATCTAGAAGCAATTACAATTTTTTCCCTGAAACAAATAGTTACTACAATAATGTTTCAGTTCCAAGTCAGTAAGAGTGAAAAAAGAAAAAGAAAAGAGTGGCGGGTGGAGGGAGGATGGCTCTGAGCTCTATTCATGGAGAAGGATGTGGCATTCTCTTTAGCCCGCAGGGCAGATGACATGGTTTTCCGGACGAAAGCTTGCTTAGACAGACATCCTTCTTAGACCCAGTCTTCCCAAGAATGCAGACGCAAATGGTGAGTTTTCAGGACACGGCAGCAGGTGACCCAGCATCGTGGGTACTACTTAGAGCAGGATGTTTAAGCAATGCAGAAAGTTTCTCCCCAGTTCTCTATGTGACTTGGGAGAAGCTGCTTAATCTCTCTGGACCCCAATTTTCTCATTTGAAAGAGCAGAATCATAATCACAAATCTCTATGGCAAACATTTTCTTAATCCTGCTGAGTAACTAATTCCCGTTTTTTTCCACTCAGCCTCCAAGCCAAGCCTTGCTCCCGGGTTCTCGGTTCACAAGGTTTGGGTAGGGTGGGGGTGGGGGAACTGATTGCCACCCACAGGCTCCAGGGGTGGGGCATGTGACCAGCCCAGGCCAATCAGAGCTTCATCTCCCTCTGGTGTCAACAGGGCTCCATCGGAACCAGTCAGAGCAAATTCTGGGACTGCAGCTAGAGCCCTCTAGAAAGCAACAGCCCTTGACAGTAGACCTGAGCCTAGAAGGATATGAACTTAGAGCGGCTCTGGCCGCTGTAGCAGACGGCCTTCCGGACAAAACAGCTGAGAAGAAGAGGCAGATTCTTCAGGAGCTGGATCCAGACTTACCCAGGGAGTTTTCAGTGACTTGCGCCGGAATCTCCCTTGTGGTCCCCCATAAGCTGGGTTAAGCTGCGTTTCTATTGCTGGCCAGGAGTTCTTCCTCATGGCTAAGGAAGGACTGCAAAGCTCAGACGCAGCCCTGCCTACTTGGGCAGCCCCTCCGAAGGCTCCGGTGTGACAGGAGCCACTTCCTTTGACTCTCAGCATCACAGGATTCTGGATGTTGTCTGGGGGCTGGCTTTGCGGTTCTAGGAACTTTCCGTCTCCAACAGGGATGGGAATACCCCAAGGTCCGGGTTACCATACCCCCCTCACATGTTCTCTTCCTCAGATCCTTAAAGTCATGGGCAAGGTGAGCCTGGCTTGGTCAGATGTGGCTAAGATGCAGAACTGACCAAATTCCACAGCGACCATGGATCGGAAAGGCAGGGATGGCAGAGAAAAGCCTAAAGGCATTCAGGGTCTTCCCTCCTGGAGACCCCATGCTTCTTCTAAGTAGGCATTTTTTTTTTTTTTTCTGAAGGAAGAAATGGAAGACTCTGCTGAAAAAAATGAACCAAAATTATAAACTCAATTCATTTGCAAGTTTCCTTAGCTCTTCTGCTCTTGATCTTTGCTTAGCTCTTCTGCTCTTGATCTTTGGACTTGAACTTAACGCTGGCTACATTTAATCAACCCGCATAGTTTCTCCAAGCACCTGGTGACAGTGTGTTTTTGGAAGAGTTATAGAGAGTGCAAAGCTTAGGATCTCAAATCAGAACACTATCCAGGTGACATACAGCAGGCCACTGCAGCTCTCTGAGGGTAGTGATGCTCAGAGGATAAAAATCCTCATCCTGGGATGCTGGGGGAGTAAGCTGAACCGTGGCAAGGATGATTACCTATTTGTATGGAGATCTTTAGTTTCTATAGAGTTTTCACATCTCCCTTTGTGTTCAGCAAAAAGCATGGAAATGAAAAGCATTATACAAATGTAAGGGGATTTATTCCTTTAAATTCCTTCGTGGTCACTTCATGCATTTCTTGTCTCACTAAAAAGTTAATTCTTTTGACAAATATTTACTGAGCATCTACTACATGTGTAACCTTTTGCTAGGTGCTGAGGGAATAGCTGTGAAAATGAAACTGTGGTGTCAGCCTTCATGATTCTTTAATTCATAGTCTCCTTCACAAAACCAAAATATCCACAAGGGCAGGAACCATGTCTGTTATCCATCCTTCCATCCACCTATCCACCCATCCATCCATCCATCATCTGTGCATCTACCTAAAACAAACATTTTTGAGTAGTACCATCCATGTGCTGGGCACTGATCTGGCCACTAGGGAAGTTGCAGTGAACAAGACAAAATCTCTACAGCTTACATTTTGGTGGGTGGAGAGAGACAATAAATGAAAAATCGAATACAGGTGGAACCTATCCAGGATAATAAGTGCTATGGAGAAAAATAAAACAATGCAGTAGTAGTGAGGGATGTAGTGTGATGAGCAATGGGGGTCGACCCCCAGGACCTCAAAGAAACCTTCAGATTTACCTCCCAGATTTTCTTCAAAGGACAGAAAGTCCTGGTTTTCACTGGTCCCCAGCTGGCAGCTGGCCCAGTTTCCTACTAGGACTCCTGGGCTCCTGCTTCCGTTCTCTTCTTAGGAAAGAAACAAATGAAAAGAAAGAAATAAGGAGTAAAATTTCTAGTATCCAGCCAAGGGCCTGGCATTTAGTGAGCACTCAGTATCAGATGAATGAATGCACAGATGGATAGATGGGTAGATGGATGAGAAGGTGTTGTCATGGAGATATATGGGGTGGGTTGAAGGCTGAAGGCAGCCCCGAAGTGGACTTTGGTAGTGTGGATGTTTCACTCTCATCTTTGCCCACTGCCCCTGAGACTGCCCATGGAAAGAGCCAAGTTTAGGATCTCAAATCAGAACACTATTCTGGTGACTTACAGCAGGTCACGGAGGATCCTCTGGGGAAGATGAGATGGGAGGAAGTGGCACTTTCAGGAGACTCCCTCAGTCTCTTGAAGACCTTTCCCCCAACTCCCCTGGCATGAAAGGCAACTCACCCTGATCCCTGGGGCAATGTCCTGGCCCAAAGCCTTGAAGCAAAGGGTGGGGTCCTGGGGTGAGGCTCCAATCCAGATGACCACAGGAATTCCTCTTCCTGGATCCACTCAAGTGCAACAGAGGCTCAACTGGCAGCTAAAGTAAGTTAATAAGAAAGCCACATTGTGTACCTAATGAATTTTCTAAATCAATTATGAAACAGTCTCATTGGTCATTTGTTAATATCTTGAAACCTTTACAAATTAATTTTACTGTATTTAAAAAACAAAACCTCTCACAGTCTGTTAACTCCATAAATGTGTTTTAAATTTGTTTTTGAATGCAACAACAAGGTGTGTTGAGGGGGGAGGCGGTGGGTGTGGGTGTGTGGTTCAGACTGACGATTCCCAGATAAACTGCTTGGCGTTTGAATGGAGTCCACCTGTCCACTCACAGACACTGTTTGGCGGTCAGTGTCAGTGACAGTCCTGTCCTGGAGAATGGCAGCTATGGTACTGTTGCCCTATGTGTCTGACCAGCCTGGGCCAGCAGGGTGGCACCTCTGGAGATACTGCTTAAAAATGCCACCCGGCCTAAGGCTAGGTCTTCTCCTGGGGCAGAGTTAGTGGCTGATGACTGTAGTAGGCGGCACTGAGAGAAAGGGACCGTATGAATGCAGCCACACTGAATCCTGGAAGGCAGAGACACAGGAATCAGAGCTGGGAGGCCTGGTTAATGAGGAGGTCACCAATGCAGTCCCCAGAGGCCAGGCTGCCTGGAGAAGCTCGCAGCAGCCCCATTCAGTGAAGTACTGTTCTCTTAAGCCGGTGGCATGGGAGCAAATCGGTAGGAGGAGGCTTTGCAAGACCCCAGAAGCAAACTGCTCGCTCGGCCATTTTCACTTTGGCCAAGTCCATGCCCAAGTTCGGTTTTGGGTACCCTGTTTGGAGAAAATTGCAGGGATCCTGGAAAGAGGCCAGGGGAGCTTACAATCGCTTGAAAGTGTTGAAAGGCAGGATTAAAGGAGCTAAAAGTATTTAACATTTGGAGGGAGAGAGGGACAGAGGATGTGGAAAGGTGGGGACGACTTAATGGCTCCCCACTTTCAAGTCCGCCAGTCATTTCCATTAAGACTAATGATGGGCTTTCTTTTGAAACTGGAGGGAATTAAGTTAGACCTGGGGAAGGCTGACTTGAAGTAAAGGAGATTTATCACAGTGATGACCTCTGACTGGGGGTATAGAATCTGTCTCTTCCTGAAAACGTTGAAGAACATCTCTGTCTTCTGAACAGCAGGTACAGTCTTCACTGCAAACCAGAGTCTCATTCTGATTTGATAGGCTTTATATATATATATACACACAGACACACATATATATAGTTTTTTCCTTTTTATTATTTAATAAATTAAAAAAATTTTTAAATGTATTTATTTATTTTTATTTTTGGCTGTGCTGGGTCTTTGTTGCTGCACAGGCTTTTCCCTAGTTGTGGCAAATTACGCTATAGTTGAGGTGCATGGGCTTTCATTGCATTGGCTTCTTTCATTGTGGAGCACCAACTTTAGGGTGCGCCAGCTTCAGTAGTTGTAGCTCCCCGGCTCCAGAGCACAGGCTGAATAGTTGTGGTGCACAAACTTGGTCCCTCCACAGCATGTAAGATTTTCCTGGATCAGTGATCAAACCCGTGTCTCCTGCCTTGGCAGGTGAATTCTTTACCTCTGAGCCACCAGGGAAGCCCTGATCTGACAGTTTTTTAAAAATTAAAATTTTCTTGTTTCCCACCTTATATTATGTGTCTACATAATCACATTTCTCATAGTGAAATATAGCTATGTTAAATTTGTATTTTTAAATAAATCTTTTTTTTCCCCTGACTATATGCTTATTGTGAATAATTCTGAAAACAGACAAGTACCAAGCAGAAGAAACAAATTGAGATAATCCCTGCTAATATTTCTTCTTTCTTTGCTGGACACATAAATCTATAGGATTATTCCATCTAAAGGTTTGTACTTTGAATTTTTTTTAGCTTAACCCTGCTTCAAAATTATTTTCCTGTGTCATTACAAAAACTTTCAAACTTTTTCCCTACATTAAATAATGTATTTTTATTGTTTTGTTTACAAATGAAATACAAAGTAATGTAAAATATATTTCAGAATTACCTAATAGGAAAAAGGAAAGACACAGTCCTTCCTTTAAAACTACCCCAAAGGATAATGACTGTGAGCAGTTTGGGGTACATTTCATGATATGAACCCTTTTTGGTGACTGTGTAATATTCATTCAAGTAGATATACTACATTTTATTTACTTCCACGTTCCCATTGTTGAAGAGCTACATTTTTAGATTTTCACTGAATTTCTGGTCTTCTCTTTTTCACTGTTTATGTGTTCGTTTATTTAGTAACCACAGGCGAGTCCCATGTGCACAGTCCCAGAAAATGAGAATGAAGGAGGGGGCAAAACAGATGGAACCCCATGACCTCAGGAAGCTTCCAGTTTGGAAAAGGGCACCTGACCATAAACAAGTGAACACAGAGGGTGTCGGAGGTGGGAAGTGCCCCGAAGAAGACTCTGCAGGGAAGGCGGCAGAGCGTGCCCTGGGGGGCCCCGATGGAGGGGCTCCTGCGTGGGTTCCTGGGCGTGGGCACAGCACTCAGCCTGCCCTCCGACCTTATGACCATGGCCCACCTCCTCAGCAGACCTGGGAGGGCCATGTCCCTTCCCCTTTGATGCCAGACCTCCGCCTTCCTCCTTTCCCACATCTGTTAGAGTTGAGTCTGGAGAATTCGACCTCAGGCTTTTTCTTTCATGTGAAAACTTATCAGAAATTAAATTAACGTCAGCCCTTTGCCTGTTTTCTCACCTGCTCAGTAAGCAACACAATTACAACAACCGGGGAGACTGGGCAGAGATCAAAACCCCACAAGAGGAGACAAGCCCCTCCCTCAGGACTCCCAATTCTGCCTCCTCAGAGATGGCCCCCCAGACTGGGCTTTTTATAGCCTCAAAGCCTGGTTCCCAGGTGGCCAGAGTGGTGGACGGGCCACCCCAGACTTCGTCTACCCATCAGAGGACCCCTGGTTTGCGTGAGGAAGGCATTTCCACCAGCACCGCGTCCAGGCCTCCCCAAGCCTCTGACAGGAGGCACCACAGTCCTTCAACCGGGCGGCCAGGGAGGGGGTCCCAGTTGCCTGGCCTGGGTCTGCCCCACACTCAGCAACAGCCATCCCCTTGGAATACCACCTGTTTGAGTAACAGAGTATCACTTAATATTTCACTTAAGTCACCAAAGAATAAGCATGTTGGAACACTGAAAGCACCATCAATTTGATAACTTTTTAGAACACAAAAATAAAGATTTTAAGAGCATTTTGTGAGACAGGAATAAAGTACAGAAAGAAAAGTTGTCTCCACCCCAGCCGTCTCCTGAGTGTCCAGTGATGCTGGGTCTGTGGTCTCTCCTCCTCCTCCTCACATACACACATCCCCTGAAAGAAAGCGAAAGAAAGTGAAAGTGTTAGTTTTTCAATCCTGTCCGACTCTTTGCAACCCCACAGACTGTAGCCCACCAGCCTCCTCTGCCCATGGAATTCTTCAGGCAAGAATACTGGAATGGGTGGCTATTTCCTTCTCCACGGGTCTTCCATGACCCAGGGATCAAACCAAGTCTCCTGCTTTGCTAGCAGATTCTTTACTGTCTGAACCACCAGGGAAGCCTGCACATACCTTTTTATTGTTGTTGTTCAGTCACTCAGTTGTGTCTGACTCTGCGACCCCACGGACTGCAGCACGCCAGACTTCCCTGTCCCTCACCATCTCCCGGAGCTTGCTCAGACTCATGTCCATTGAGTCGGTGATGCCATCCAGTCATTTCATCCTCTGTCGCCCCCTTCTCCTCTTGCCTTCTATCTTTTCCAGCATGAGGGTCTTTTCCAATGAGTCGGCTTTTCACATCAGGTGGCCAAAATATTGGAGCTTCAGCTTTAGCATCAGTTCTTCCAAAGAATATTCAGGTTGATGTCCTTTAGGATTGACTGATTTGATCTCCTTGCAGTCCAAGGGACTCTCAAGAGTCTTCTCCAACTACACAGTTTGAAAGCATCAGTTCTTTGAGGCTCAGCTTTCTTTATGGTCCAGCTCTCACATCCATACATGACTACTGGAAAAACCATATCTTTGACTATATGGACCTTGGTGGCAAAGTAATAGGGGCTTTATTTGTTGTCCTTTGGAGATGGAATCCTACTTCATAAATTTCTCTCAACCTAGTTTGCTTTGAATACTTAATGGCTCTACAAGTCAGTGAATCTGAATCCAGCTCAATCTTTAGTTTTTCAAGGTCATAAGCACCCACACACAAATAATTTGTATATTTAAGATTTTATTAAAATGCTGATTTTGAGAGCAGGCTTTTGAAAAACTTGCTTTCCCCCTCTTGTTCCCCCACCCCCACCTCCAACTCAGGCTAGTAATCTGTTTTCTGTCCTTCTACACCCTTTTTCCAGGTGGCACAGTGGTAAAAAATCCATCTGCCAATGCAGGCGACTGGGTCGAGAAGATCATCTGGAGTAGGAAATGGTAACCCATTCCAATCTTATTCCATGGATAGAAGAGCCTGGGGGGCTACAGTCCAGGGGGGTCAGAAAAAGTCAGACATGACTGAGCACACACACACATACACATACACACCCCCTTTTAAGTGCTGGTAGAATGATACATAGATAAATATAGACATGTACAAAATGATGCTTCCACAAAAGGTACTGCTGCCTCTTGCTTTTCTCATTCACCACTATGCTATGGAAATCCACTCCACCCCCCAATCTCATAATGAAGTTATGAGATTCACTCATAGTGGGCATACATCTGATTTATTTGGCCATTCTTCCATTGATGGAAATTCATTTAATGTTCAGCTTTTATTCTTGGTTACTATGAACAATGTGCTAAACATCCTTACATGTTTACATGCAGATCCATATCTTTTAGGTAATTGCTTTTCCTTCTATGGAATAGGCTCCCAGGAATGAAAGTTCTGAGACTTCGGTATGATTTAAGATTTAAAAGGAAAAAATACTAAAGGAGGAAAACAAATGATTCATGTTATATAAGCCCTTAGCTAGGAGCTTCTGGGACATTTTTCATGGTCTTACTTTTCTACCCTCATTCCTAAATGGTTCAGAGTGTTCCTTCTGCCTCTTATAGATAGAGCGACAGGGCTCTCAGGCCACTCTCACATTCTCGCAGAGGCTGGTGTAGGAGGAAAAATACCCAAGTAGGGGCAGGGGCCTCTCACTAGCTTTGTGATCTTGGACAATTCTCTCCATCTGCAAAGAACCCAGTGGATCTGGTGCGGACAGCCAGGTGGTTGGGGAACCCCATGAGGAGGCAAAAGGTTTGGGAAGGTGCAGGCATCAGCCCTAGTAAGGCTCCAACTTGAACTTGCTTTTGGAGGCCTCGGCAGGGGATCAGTATGACCCAGCCTGCCTCTCCTTCCCATACCTACAACTGTGGCTTCCCTGGGGGATTCAACTCAGTGTTTCTTTTCCTTGATGAAAAAAAAATCACTGCAATTGAGCAGAATAAGCAACCATCCATGTTAGTCTCGACACAACAATGAGTCATGATGGATGAGAAGGAAAAACCACAAAGGCTTAAGGTGGTTTAGAAAAAGAAATCTTTGTTTGAAGCTGGCTGAAACAATCTCCACCCGTTCATTTGGCCTTGTTGTTCATTAACCACGTAGCTAGACTGGGATGAGCCAAGGGGTGGGGCAAGCTGAGGGTGGAGCTGTGTCTCACACTCGTCCTGCACACACAATGGAGACTTGGACAAGAA